CTTAGTAATAAAAACTCTGATAATACGAACTCTGAAAACTCGAAAAACTCGGATATCCCGAAGTGAAACATCGGTCCCAACAACGTAAATCCTACATAAAAATATCTCCTACCTCGAAGTTTCTTAAGATTCACCAGTCTATCATATATTCTTTAATTATTTGATACATATTAGACGCAGTGCACGAGGTCGGAGACAGCATGTGTGTTTATTGTAACATTAATTAATTAATTAATATGATTATGAATAATTTTTTATTTTTCATTTTATATAGTTATCTTTTTGACATTTATTGACTGTTTAAATACGTTGATTGTCAGAGAAATCAATGACATATATAGCCTCATATTGGACCAAACACTTTACCAAGTTTTATGCCAAACATAGGAACTCGCTTAACTCGAATACCTCGAAGTTTCCCAACGATCCCGTCGACTTCGAGATAACGAGGTTCGACTGTATTTCGTTATTAGCTTACGGCGGGATATTAGAGAAAACAAATATCTAGGGAGATCTGTGTGAATGTCAGAGTATCCATATTGAAAGAAATACTCCACCAAATTTCACAATTCTTGTAGCATTTTATTGAACAATAGAATGATATCAGAATCTAAAAATGATGATACTTGAAAAGAGGTCCTCCAATTGTGATTGATTGAAGTGCGGACATGACACTGACAATAATAAAAGAAAGTGGAAACGATGGTTTGTTTAGTTTTTGCTTGTAGGCACAAACAAACATGTTTTCATATACAATATTATCAGCGTCTATATTTGTCCGGGACAACTACTAGGAAAATTGATTATTATTCAATCTACAACTGTAAATTTAGAAAGAAAAAAGAAAATGCATCCAAGTAGATCTCACGACTTAAGTACGGAATACAGGCATTGACGAGTTTTTTTCCTGGTAGAATAATGTAATTTTTCCCTTATTCATAAAAATTTAAATGTCAAGGCTGCTTTAAGGGAAACTAGAACTTTTTGTATTTATTGCCTGTGGTGATTTAGAAAAGTATAAACATAACTATTATGTATGAACGGGTAGCGTAGTGGATACGCTTTCTGTTTTAAAACAGAACGCTGATGGACATTTTCTTCCTCAATAAACTGTTGCCAATTTAGTTATTCTGTTTGCTAATCCGTAAAACAACTAGTTTTCGTGGCATTAAAAACTTTTGCAGAGAACAAATAAGTACTGTGTAAAATTTATTATTTTAAAAATCTCCATAAAAGACACACATGCTAATCGATTGAAATCTAATCAAATCTAGGATTTCCCTAAGCGTAAAATACTCTTTTACCATTTCTTATTTCATTAGTTGATATCATCAATCCTTTTTTTCTGCTGATGTATCAACCACTGTCAGTACTATGTACCAGTATAATGTCGGGTGGTGCATAACCTACTCGTAGTACTCTGTAGAAGTGAAAGGTCCCATGATTCATCATTGTGTTGTTGACTTTGTGTACAAGTATAATCATTTATGACGCAACATGTCCAGCAGGATTTCTGTCGAAAGCATATATTAAACTGTGCATCACATATTGCAGGCTTTCTGAATTAGTTAAATATCTAATGATTCATCATCAGTTTAAGTTCTTTGTAAATGATCAATTGTGCATTACCTAAAGTAGATATTCTGTACAAGTTTAATGATATAGATGCATGATTTATTGCGGTTCCTTGTGCAAATTCAATCTTGAAATATGTCCAATCTGTTGTTGGTGTTATGTTCAAGCGCAAAACAAAACTAATTCGTTGGAGATCATCACTGTAGTAAAATGCCGCTATAAAATATAGAAATAAGACAACATAAATTTGCGTTTTCTTTTTTTTATTCGGTAATTATTAACATAAAAATATTTAACAGAAGGATTCACTGGTCTGGACATTGACAGATCGAAACAATTTTGATATTCAATTCGTGTTTGTCAGAAAAAGGTGGCACAGGACTTCTGTCTCTAGTCTTCTTAATGTCGTTATTCAGTTTGTCACGTGTCTGTAATTGTGAGCGTTACAATGCAAGATAGCCACTGACTTTCACCATCATACATTGTGTAACGCGCGGAAGCATTTCTATTATATTCGTAGTCTTCTTGACTCCCACAATCATTAACTGATTACTTTCCTATGTAGTTGGAAAAAATTTCCACACAACGATTTCTGCTCTCTGTTAAAGTACACTGACGCGTATGTCACATTTGCATTTCTAACATTATTGTTGTAGTAACCAGGGACGATTGTTAGAACGGACGGATGGGTAGATGATCCTCCAACCTCTTTGTCGACGTTCCTAAGGATTCATTTCGATGATACCAGCCTTTGGGATAATAGATGTTGCATAGGTCATATCCGGCAGTTCGGCAGGCCTTATGGTGATCTGAAATAATTATATGAAAGGTATGCATTAAAATGTTTTTTGGAGTAAATTTTTAAAGTTTATTTTCTAGCTCTTTTCTTCCGTGAACATAATAATCATGACTTATACAAAAAAAGCATAATCTTAAATAAACCCCCAAAAATAAAGCAAATTGTACACCTACCTTATTAACCTCCCGAGTATTCCCTCAGCTGTACCAAGATGAGTACAACATTCAGTCCTAGCTTTACAAGTGCGGGTTTATCAGATTGAGTTTGGAAACCCGGACGAAGTTTACGTCTCTTTAGTGTGTCAGTAAACATTTCATCTCCCGCCTGCCGAAGGAATCTTCCTAGCTTTCTGGTTGTAATAGGCTCGCAATATGTCAAGTATCCTTTAGCCATTTGCATGCATTACATGAGCAGTGATATGTGTTCTGTTGTAAACTCTTTAGTGTGAATGACATACAAAGCGACAGTGAAGTGTATATATACAAACTGATTGGAATTTTCACAACTATTGCATGTGACTGAAGTATAAATATATCATCGATAATATTTTCAAGTCAGCGTTTGTTCATCGTACGGTATCAGTCGTATTTGTTTTATGGCACCATTTAAAAATAGATTCAGGATATTTACTATTTAGTTACTGGAATATCAATATTTGTTCTATCGTTTGCTTTCGTTTTGTATATATTTTGGATATCAGTAGCGTGTGCATCTATTAATAGTAATATGGCCTCTTAGTTGAACCATGTTCACATGGAAGTTTTACCATGTGAGGATACCAATAACGGATATATTGGTCAGTTTCTTGAAAAAAGTGACAGCAATTAATATTTCACTTCATTTCATTAAAGCTCTGACACTTTCTGGTGAAATTCTTTTATTCTTTAAAATATACACTAAAGCAATCATTTTCAAAAATGTAAGATGCTTGAGTTGTTGTTTCACCTTATTACTTGTCGGGAAGAAAAATATTTCATTTTTGCTAATGCAGATAGCATGCAACAAAACCACAAAACGGGTAGACAGACAAAAAATACTGATTACTTAACACTATGTTGATGTGGCATCATATATATGAATGGTGCTCCGTTTTGGGTTCCGTTCCATTTGTGTACCGTCTCTTTTGAGGAAGCCGGGACTTTGGTGAAAAGGCGTGTTATATAGGTATATACGTATCGCAGGTTTAAATGTAGACTTCGATCTGGTGATGTTGATTGATAAATCAGTTTATTTGGTTACGTCAGAAATATAAAATAAAAGATCGAGGTATATCTGCGTGTGTGTAAAAGTAAACAAATCAGTTTTCGAGATTGTGAACAAAAGCTTCAACAATTTATTTTTCAATTATTGCATCGTTTTATTACACACAGTAAACAATATAAACACCAACAAATCTACAACAAACAGCATCTGAAAAAATGTCCTAGATCTCTAACTTATAAAACTGACCACACCACACTTTCAATAATAAGACACAATGAAAAACGGTAGAGTGCAATTATGTTCGTTATCAGTTATAAACAGGCTAGTTCTTTCCATATTGAGATTTATCAATAACATCCTCATTTTGTCTTGTACAACTATGAGGAAAACTAATGAGATATTCAACAAACAATTCCACAATGAGTGGGAACCACACCAATTTCCTAGGGTAAACAGGACAAGTTATATTATAAAAATTAAGATATTTTATCAATGTTCATAGAAAGACATTTCGATGTGATATTTCAGAAAGGTAAAAAAATACGAAAAAAATGAAGATGCTCTTCGTTAGACATTAGACAATGGGCTGGCTGGGACATTCTCACATAATTAACTGACTGTATTGCCATTTTTTAACAATATGTTCGTAAATCGGTATACCAAATATGTTCGCAAAACGGTATATCAAATAGTTTTCATGACATAATTAGTCATGAAAATCTTACTACAAAAAACCATATATCAACATGTATAAACACCTGTCAAATCAAATCCGGAAGTGGAAAATACTGTATAACAATTAGGGATTTTATTCACTGATCTCACCATAGCTTAATCCTTTGCTGTTGCATCATCTACCGTAGATACTTCTAGCATGTACCAGTACAATGTATGACTGTTGTACGGTCTGTATATATGTTAAATGTTTGATGGCTCATCATCCAAAGCAAGTACAAGGAAAATGTCGGAGGATTCATCTTTTCTTATGAATTCTAGGTACAAGTGTAATATTTTATGATGCTGTTAGATGTCTGTACAAGTTAAAGGATGAATGATGCATCATCTACCGTTAGTACTCTGTAGAAGAATAATGCTGCATGATTCATCATTTGTTAATGGCTATGTATACAAGTATAGTATTTTATGATGCATCATCGACGGCAGGATTTCTGTACAAGTTAAATAGCTGATGATGTATCATAAATGATATTGAGATTCTGTGTACAAGTTAAATGATGAATGGTGCAGCAATTGTTGTAGGAATTCTGTGCAGGGCATTAAGGCCTGATGACGCGTTAGGTGTTCAGCAAAATCACAAAGCAGAAGTCATCCGTTGGAGATAATCACTGTAGTGAAATGTCAACGTTATGATTCGACCATGGTACACATATGAACTATGTTAAATAAAATATCAACAACAATACTCGATTTCTATATTTTATTCCGTTATCAAGCACATAATGATACCTAGCACAATAATTCAATAGTGATTGTCTAGACATGGATATCGATACAGTGTTAATATTCATTCCGTACTTGAAAGAAGTCTTCGTAATGTTATTACTCAGATTGTCGTGTGTCAGTCCGGGATTTGTATGTGTAACAATACACATTACTCATTAGCCGTTTACTGTTCACAATCACATATTGTGTTACTAGCGGCATTGTATCTATCGTAGTCTACCATCTGTGATCACTATTTAAGAACAAGAAACTTCCACAAATATCAATTGATAATTTTTCACAGACTAATGTTCCACAGAAGAAGGTCAGGTCTCTCCGGTAAAGAATAGACGATTTTCTGTTGCTTATGCGGCCTGTTGATTCTATGCGGATATCATAGTAGTCATCACAGGTACGGAACGTTCAATGCATACCGCATCCTCCGGTCACTTCATCGTCTTTCCTTAGGTCTTTTGTCGATGATACCAGGCTTTTCGGATGCAAGGTGATCCATATGTCGTTATCCGGCAGCGTTCGGCAGGCCTAATGGTCACCTGAAAAAGGAAAGTGGGGTGGATTGTTAATATTTGAATTTTGCCTCAGGAAAAAAAATCAAAAAAATCTGTTAGTATGTTTCTGTAATGAACACAATAATCCTGATTTTTTAAAACAATTAATAATGCCACTGCATATTAGACCTACCTTATTAACCCCCTGTGTACTCCCACAGCTGTGACAGGATGTGTGTAACTCGCATTCCAAACTTGAGAAGTCTTGGTGGACTGGATTGATTTTGAGCACCATCGTGAATATTTCGTTTCTTTAGCGTATCGAAGTACATTTCATCCCCCACTTGTCGGAGGAATCGTCCCATCTGCTTGGTTAGAATAGGATCGCAGTTCGTCATGTAGCCTTTAGCCATTACAGATATGTCAGTGGCAGTTGTATACGAAGTGTCCTGTTGACGATTAGTGAGTGTATAAACCCTGATCGACTGCGCAGTGTATATATACAGACGGATTGGGATTTTCACAACAAAGTCATGTGACCTAGATAGTATTTTTAACTCAATGCTTATTCATAGTAAAGTATTACTCGTATGTGTTTCGTTATCACTATTTAAAAATACGGTCAGGCTATGTTATGACGGCTCAATGAGGCAGACGGCTTATACTGTTTACATTAGCGACCAAGCAATACGAGAATTCAGTGAACAAGCTTGTAACATGGGTAAACATTTTGGGCATTTCATATAATAAGATTACTGAGAATTTAATTATGGAATATAGGCATTAGAACTGATTGATCGATTACTCATTACATTATTTTAGGTTAGGGTATATCACTAAACAAACACGATACTGAGTGATAGTATCCAAATCAAATTATGTTGGTTATCGGAATATATGAGTTATTCTGAATTAAAGAAACTATCCATATTTTGTTTTTCATTGTATCTTAAAGCAAGGGATGTGAGGCCATTAGGCATATAAATAAAGGTGAAATCGAAATCACATGTTTGAATGCATTCTTATGCTAACACTGTTATCACTGCAGACAGATTACGCAATAACACCACACCAACGTGTTGAACGCGAGCTGGCAACATGCCAGATAGCTGGGATCTGGGTACCCTAACGTATATTAAACTTTGAGTACATAACCTTTTATAAACTAAATTTAAACATTTTAACAATATGAGGACACACATGAGACATTTTAACAATACGAGGACACACATGAGACATTTTAGACGGCATGCCATTAGTAACTTGTCTATATTTGTATGCTTATGTAATGTATATCTATTTTTAGATTTATTTCCTAATCAGAGAACAGAAGAGCTAAATTAATTAAATGATTCCAAATTTAGTACAGTTGTATATAATATTAGATACTGATTTATTTATGTTATATATGATTAAATATTCATTATTTATATAATCGTTACGTTTAATTTTGTCACTTAATTTATAAATGTCGCTAAATTCTAACACATTCTGTACACTTCCATTACAATGATCACATATTACAAATATAGTATAATAGCATACCTCATTGTTGGAATTAAAAATAAAGGCAGTTTATTTGCGCGTTTATTTTTTTTATTTTTTTACATACGGAATAAAACCTCTCTATAACTGCTATACTTTATGTCGATCTTGAAATTACACATGCGCTCGTATTCACGAAACCGTTCTCATGATCGAGCAAAACTTCTGTGCTCAAACCACCCTTTTTGAAACTCGCTTAAATCATACGACGCAATCAGAATGTGAATTTTAACATCTAAAACGGTTTTCAATGCGAAGACTCTGTACTAGTACTAGTAGGATTCATATATACAATTGATAGTCGTCAAACACTTTTGATTATAATGGGGAATATGTATTTAGAAAATTGAAAGAAGATCATTGTTGTCCCTTCTATTTCACCTATTCGTGTTCGGATCTTAATTTTCATTAAATCAAACAACAGTCCCACGATTATAAATCCCACTAAGTTTGAATTATTTCCTTTAAACCATACACATAGTTTCCGAATGAGTGAATGATAATGACGATATTTACAAACGAACTGAAATTGATCAGCACTGGTTTTGGACGACAACAACCGTGGTTATAACGCAAAGCATTAAAACTTGCGATGACATGATTCATATAAATATGCACATAATATATAATATCTGATTTGGATGTTTAAGTTAAATCAAAGGGCTGTGGTCACTCAGGGGTGCTGCGTACGAAGGATTCAAATAATGGAATAAAGGAGGTGGCATATCAGTACAGAATGGCAGTAAATAATAAAGAACATGTTGTTGAGTAAGGGTCATAATAGCCCAGACAACCCTGCAAACCAAAATTGTCCCGTAAGATTATGGGAAAGTTAAGTTTACGATTAAATGAAAAAATAATTTTGGTTTGCAGGGTTGTCTGGTTAAGGTCACTGTTACTATTTTTAAAGAGCATTGTCTGCGCTGTAGCAGCTTCATTACTTGAAGGATTTCCATCGATTTGAAACACTAATTAAGGACCATAATATCAGACAAGTTTCAATTGTTTTAGCAATACTCTGCTTGTTATATATATTTTTATTGAAAATTATGATTAAGGGATGGGCTATTATGACCCTTACTCGACAACATGTTCTTTATTATTTAATGCCATTCTGTAATAATAATATCATAATTATTTATTTGTATTATCAAATTTTGATATTATTATTACAGTTTGTTATTATCATGATTAATTATACAACAAATGAAAACGAGATGGTATTATTTCCCGTGTGTGTATTCACGGACGTATGCAAGTCCCTTGTGTATCTCTCCTTCTCTCGATATTGTGACGAAGGTTAAAGACCTAACTAATTATTCAGTTTCTGGTTAATGTGAATAATATGTAAATACGGTTTTACTTTTTGATGTTCAATATGCTATATTCACGAAGCACTTGTATCTAATCGGGCCATTATCTAGAGACTGTATTGGGAACATATCTACAAGCTAGATAGGCACAGCTGCTGTCGCATTGGAAAGCTATCTATAAACTCGTTAGGCACAGCTGCTGACGGCTACCTTAGTATAAGTCAACATTCTCTTTCACTTGGAGACTTTCCATTGAGACAAAGAAAACACGAAGCCTACTTTATCAAGGACAGTTATCAAACAGTCGTTCAACAAGTCGCGAGCAAGAAACTACGCAATGATGGACAAGGGGAGAAAACTCGTACACACAGACTTTAGAGTATTGGAATACGAGGCGTAGTAATTTGAACCAAATATAGTTCGGAACTTTCACTGATTAAAAACGCCACTGTTAAAGATCTTTACATATTTCTTTGATTTTTTTTGTCTTATACAGATATATTGTACCAAATTATTGCATTGATCATATCATGAAATAATGAACACATTATCTAAAAACCTTTCGCGGAAGGATGTAGAGTGTTTTTTTCTTTTTTTATTGTAAAGAAATTATTCGGTCCAAAAAGCGTAGTAATCTGAGATTGATATAGTTCATGATGCTCACTGAAAAAACTCGCCTTTTCATTTTTTTTTTACATTTTTTCTTTGATTTTTGATCATTTTCATACGTATACCATGAAATAATCAACACAGCATTTAAAGATCTTCCGCGGAAGTCTGTTCATTGGTTTTGATTTGCCCAGGCTTGTCGCGGACCGCTATGAATGCTGTACACAGCATCCAAAAATGAGAAGCAAATGTCATAGAAATATTGACATGAAAGCGGAATAAGGCGTGATACATGTAATAATTCAATAATCTATAATGACTGTATTTACTTATTTACATAAAAAAAAACCGAAGGAAAATTTCAGATAAGAACTAAATTTGAAATCTTTCATTCCCGAGGCCTTGTACGTCACTTGTACAATAGTGTTGTAACAGGAATGGGTTATAGCCTTTACGTTATTTTGTATTTAGACACGCTTTCCTCTTGCAGCGCAAGATTACACCACTTCGACCATGCACCCAGCAGACAACCCAACCGCTATAAACGTTGCTTTAGCGGCTACACTCAAACCAACAACACCGACTGATTGCAGGATTGCAAAAAGACTTCCGGCGGAAACATTCCCGAATGACATTAGCCAGGCCGCTATTGTTCCACTGGTAATTCCACCGGAACCGAACCCAAGTGCAGCCAACATTGGACCAATTGTACCCAAACTTCCGATGGCGATGGTCCCTCCTACTATTGCTCCTATCAGACATGGCATGGACACTGAAAATAAAACATGACAAGTTAATAGCTTGCAATGGGTTGATAGTGTTATTTTACATTTTTTATGATACAAATCATAAAAGTAATAATTAGATAATTGTCTTTCTAAGTATGATAAAAAAAAATACCTGAAAAACATTTGCATATTGGAAATTTATATACAAATTTATTCTATCTATGCTAGTTGTCGAACATAAAACTGATAATATATATCGTTTTGATCTAACCAGAGTATTTATTGTATATGCGCCATATATTTAATTTTGTACTGTTTCCTCATGGAACATTTCTGCATACTTTCCTCTCAAAACAATTTGATACAAAAATATATATATATATATAAACAAATGCTATCAACTTAAAGTATTGTCCTTAACGATGGGATTTTGTCTATGTGATACACAAAGTTGTAACACAAACATGTGTTACGTTTATCTTGATAATTAATAACTTTAAACAAAGTATGCAATAAGGCCTGTATTAATTACCTCTGATGTCTTTCGTCTTCATGTTAACAAATTGGGATTTACTTTGTATGCCTCCAGTTTTGACGTAAATTTCAATTTGATAATCTGTGTTGATATCAATTTCTTCGTCAACAAGCATGGTATCTTTCCTGCTTGAAAACCGAGCCACTTCACTCTTATCATTTGGTTTTCTAACAATGATATGTTTCCAAATATCTTTTAATGGCTTGATAGTCATCAGCTCTATTGATGTTGATTTAGTGGAACTTCTTTTCTCGTCAATAAAGGGCGGCTCTGGGCGTTCTTCAACTATGAGATATAAAATATATAAAAATGTGACATACAACATATTGGATTTATTTTACCTTTGAATATCAGTGCAATATTCATATAGAATTTTGTTTTAAATATTTTTAAAGTTTTGCTATATACCAAATATAGCGATTATATCATTTTCATATAACAAATGAGCTTATGATGTAGAGGAATATGTATATCATTGGTGACACGATATGATATAGAATACTCCGAATACGGAGTATATTACTCGATAAACCAACAACCACACCTGCTATATAATAGTGACAGTGGGGACTAGCATATATATCTACTCTTTCACGAAGCTGATCACACATTGTTATTTGACATATTTTTTTTATCGCATGTCCCGTTAAAGTACCTGTACTGGGTTTTTCAAATTAGTAATCCTACATAACGTTTGTTTTGTCAACAAAGTTCCTGTCTTAAAGTATTTTGGATATGTGTACCTGTATTGTGTGACAAGTTGATTTGGATGTGCTTTACGTGTATATATACTAGGAACCGAACAGTAGTTGTGTATAACCACTAGTACCGAGTAAAGTAGGACAGTTATTCGTTACTCGCCATAACGAATGACTATCTTAATTTACTCCTCCGCCCATCACAGAAAGTACAAATAGAATAAGGAATATTAAAAATTCGTCATAAAATATAATAATATACAACATTTATATAGCGCCCTATATGATTTGTAAAATTTCTCTAAAGCGCTTTACAACATATGGATAAAAGTAATGGTTATAAATGTGAAAACAAAAAACAAAGGCTTACAGTCACTTTTATACATTTAAGCAAGCAATGTGCACATAATTGAACAAATAAAAGGGTGGTATTTACATAACGTCTTTGCAAAGATTCTAAAATGCAGACCTGAAGAGGTAAGTTTTGATGTCCCTCTTGAACTTGGCCGAGGTATTGGACATCATAAATATTTCAAACTGTTTCAGTCATTTGATGAAAGAACCCTAATTATATATTTTATATTCCGAATCATCAAACGGTAGACTGGGGAAAAGACGAAAATATTACCAGCCATGTATAAGGTGAGAATAATAATGTTTTAACAACTAACAGCGTATCCTAATGCAGTTGTTGACAAGGGGATCATCTGAGTTTGGCGATTTAGTTGGAATTAATATGGACATCGAATACCGACTGAAATAAGTTCAATGCTTAAAATGAACGCATTTTAAATATGTCATTTTCATTAGCTTTGATATTAACCCGCATTCTATTTTGTTGTGCTTTTTGTATGGATTGGTTTGGTTTGGTTTAGTATTGTTTAACGTCCTTTAACAGCTATTTAAGGACGGCCTCTCCTGTGTGCAAGATGCATGCGTGTAGTATATGCGTGTGTGGTTTGGGAGGCTGCGATATGTTCATGTTTGTCTCCTTGTGAAAGCGTGGAACTGATGCCGACTTTATAGCGCTACCTCACCATAAACATAATAATAATAATTCGAGGATTCTAATATACCGCTTTATCACAACCTAGTTCGTAGGTCGTCTCAAAGGGGATCACAAATTATCATCCGTGGTTATAGGGCCTTTGCACCCAGCCAATATCTTTCTCAATTCACTGGGGAGCATACAGCCGGTGCTGCCATTTCGGCGCTCACAGCTAGCATTCAACAGTTCTAGCACTGCCCAACCACGTCCTCATTTACAGCTGAGTAGACTGGAACAAGCGGTGTAAAGTATCTTGCCCAAGGATACAACACAGTGCCGTGACGTGACTCGAACCTGCGGTCAGGCGCCCGGCGTCCTACCACTAGACTACCGTGCCTTCCGAACTGAAACTGAAACATACTGCCAAAGACATCCAGCAGGACACCCCACCCGGTCACAGTATACTGACAACGGGCGAACCAGTCGTTCCACTACTAAACTGCTGAGCGTTAAGCAGGAGTAGCAACTACCATTTTTACAGACTCTGGTATGTCGCGGCAAGGGGACAGAACCCAAATCATTCCTCACGGGGGCGAACGCTCAACTAAAGGCCAAAAGTGAGGCATTGTCAAGGGAGACATTAGGAAGAAGAAAGTTATTTAGAAAGAAGAGAAAAGATAAGATCCCACATTTAGTCACCTCTTACGATCATGCAAAGGTACAATTCTTACGCCCTACCTGCAGGGACTTTGTATGGAATATTTTCTTATATATGGTGAAATTATAGTATTTTTTCGTGTACAATCGATGCGATCTGAATCAACTTCCCTGATGAAAAGCTAATTTGCACTTTGTGCACCATGCAACCCGTTTAGTATTGTTGTTATCCGATTCCGTCCTCTTTGTCTTTCATTTCTTCTGTTTGTTTTCTCCCCACTGAGGATACTTGTTTTTAGGCTGTGTGGCTGTAGCAGCGCTTTGTTGCTTTACTAAACTGTAATGTTTTATAGAGTGTATGAAATTTAAGATCACAGTTTTATTTGATATTACAAATTACGTATTTTACATGTCATTAGAATCTACAAATGAGTGATCGTTGTTGTAATTTACAAACAAAAGAAGAGGCACGGAGGGCCTGTACCGCTCACCTGGATAGTTAAGCAGTCATAGCAAAATATTATCATTAAATATTATACTGTACTACAAATATTTCCAAAATTTGGCCCAGTCTCGCAGCAACATCCTTACCTTATTGGGTCCCATACCTCTGTCCCCATCGGGGCTGGGGCATGGTTTTTACAACAGTAAATTATATTGGGCCAAGGATACTCTATATTAAATTAGAAATTAGATTTAGATAAAGCTAGATTTATACCATTTGGGTTTCCACCATGTTGGCTCCTAGCATTACATCGGAGTCCTCGAAGGCCGTACGAGTTGTATGGTGCAATGTAATTCAACCTAGCAAACTATGTATCGTGTAATGAAATATGTGTGTCTTACGTTAATCGTTCTTTGCCATATTTAGATACAAAAGGCCCACAATTGTTACGCAAAGGGATGAACTTTCCCATACAATTCGAACCTCGTGAAATTAGGAATATTCTGTATTCCTATTTACGTCTAAATTTGTGGTTGAAGAACAAAATGACGAATTTGCACAAATTAGCCAGCCCATTTTACCGATACTATCAGCAAGGTTAACAAACGAGATCAACAATATATATCACAAGTACATTTAAACCCTGTTTTAAAGTCATCATGTGCGCAAGTGCAGGGAGTCAAAATCGCGCCTATCAGTACTCGGATTTCTGGGAGTCATGCATACGTTTTCATTTGTCAATCTCGCTTGTGTTTACCATGCGATGATTTTGTTTAAGCTTAATTAAATAATCAACTTACGTGTTCTGACTGAGATATCCTCCGAAAGGACGCGTTCTTCATCTCCACAGTGACTTGGTAAAACTGACGTCACAATAAACTTGAACAATTGACCGGGGGTCAACTCCTCAACGTGGAGCGATGTCTGGTCTGGGTCGACCTTGCGGGTCTGAACTGATTTTGAATATACCGGATACCAGCGTACCTCATAGCTCTCCACCGAGCCGTATACTGGGTGGGTCCACTCCAACATAACAAATGTGGTTCCTCTTTCCTTTACGATTAGGTTTCTGACTCTTAAATTCGATTCTACAACAAAACACAATAATACATATGATATAAATATTGAATCAGAGAATTACCAGTGAAATGTATTGGAGTGATGTATAATTTCATCGTTGAAAACTACTGAGTCCACAATCATTCAAAAATGTATCGATACTGACCTTCGACCTGTATTTTTGATGTCGTAGGATCACTAATTGTTTCGTCAGCCACCGCCCATATAACCACCTCATATGCAGTCCCAGTCTGAGGATTGTCTAACACCACGGACGGCCGTGTCGACTCGGTACTTTTCTTTGTCACTACGTCTCCCGCACAGTTCTTCAACATCACAAGATAGCTGTCCAAGTATCCTGGCGAAGCCTCCCAACTCAGCTCCACACGTGTCGTCAGCACGTGACTTTTGTGCATGTTTATTTGACCGGGAGGTGATGGCACTAGATTGAGAGAAAAAATCAAAGTATTCGAAGAGCACAAACGTTTACCTTTTTATTTTAAATTAAATTAGCTTTTACCCACATTTCTAAGGAATATACACACAGCACAGAGTCTATGGTTTAAATGCAAACCTAACATGTCCACTGAGTTGTGTTGGTCTACCTGTGTTTATTTCACTTTGTTATTTCATTTATTCATTTTGCAAATATTATGTACTGTTTTCTTAACAAAATGCTCTAAATTCAGATTATTATTTAAAAACTTTCATAATTTAACTATTTCCGCGCTTCTCGAATCACCGCTGCGACCGGCTGTCATTGAAATGACAAACAACAAGACCAATATTCGAACTCAAAATCAATCAAAGTATGACAAAATATGAACACAGGAAAGATTTACACGGAGATCTGTTAAAAGTAGAACAAGAATAAGACCAGGTGTTCCGTAACTGTAAGCGTTTTGCTTCATTGATGACACACACCTTGTAGATCTAAGTCGAATCCGAGTAATATCACGTCCTCACATCGAGAACTTTGGTAGGGACAACTAAGACCACAAGTAACTTTAATGAGCATAATAAAAAATATCGATCTCTATATCATACAGAAAAATGGCATATTTGTCTGCGAGTTCCTGATAGCAACCATAAACGTTGTCCATAGCCTACATCAACCTGCATCTATGCAAATCCTGTGTGATAAGTTTATCCGTCAGCAGTCGACATCTATCACGGAAGTCGAGTTATTCGGAGGAGGCTTTTGAGTACCGAATGACCTGCAAATTGTAAACAACGTAGACAGGGGAAGTAGTGATGCTGCTATAGGGAAAGGCAAATTATTATTGATCACAAACGTCTAATTGTTAGCCTAACGTGGCACTGAAGCTGAAGGAAAGAGTGTGTTGGCCGAACGTGGCACCAACTTTGTTCAAACCCGCTGAAACGAATATTTTTCACTGTTGAAATGTTAAATGTGTAATGGAGCCATTTAAATGATGTATTGGCTTTTTTAAACAGGTCATGTGCATCACATTTGGTCAAGTATTTGATTGTCAGCCAAATGTCGACCAACCGGTAAACGCCTCAACATTGCAAAAGAATTTTGGTGACACAGATACATAAATATCGACAAAACGTTGAATAAACTTTGGAATTTTGAAGAAGCAGCATCCTTGACATTCGAAAGGTATTGGTGGTATTTCAACTGGGGAATATAAACGTTACACAGTATGCTGCCCTTAAATAGTCTATTTTGTATGTTCGGACAACGTTGCGAATCCGTCTGTGACCTTGCCGCCCGACTGCGACGTTGGCCCAACGACCGTTTCTATCTGGGATTTTTTTTTGTATACGTTTGGTACATTATGGTACCCTCCAGAGCCTTCAACTAGTAAGACCCCTATATCCTTTCTAATGAAATCTCACAGTCGTCATCAGTTCAATTTGCCCGTAACAACTTAGCAAATTACACGTATGAATTCAGACAGGCTTACCACAAGCTCACTAAGGGTAAAGCCAATAATGGTAGCAATCTTACAAACAACATATTTATTTAATTCTCACGTTCACCTGGACCGTGTCTAAAACTATAATGATGTGCACACTATAACGTATGTAAGATTTTAAGATGACTAATATGAATGCACCAATAGCTTAATTAAAAGTAAAGTGAACAATGAGCGAACCAATGAAAAATTGTGTACCCGGAGACGAGAGCTTATCACATAGAAATACAGCAGGTTGTCCGTCGACATATCATTACTCAGTGGATATTTTTGTCAGAGTAACATGTTAATTTTCAGAAATTCGAGGATGAAAACGTATCTATAATCAGATAGGTACATAGCTTTGGAACAAAACTGCGGTCATACCGTTTGCAATCACTGTCAAAAGTGACAGACCTCAATATTAATGCAAGACCCGTTATTTGTCATTCTCTTTAAGGCATTTCTTCGATTAACATTGTATAAATTTCGGTTTAGAATTAATACCTTATCATCTTACTTGTTCTGACTAAGAGATCCGTTGACTGGACGCGTTCTTCCTCTCCACACTGATTTAGTAAAACTGACGTAAAATCAAACTTGAACAGTTGTCCGGGGGTCAAATCTTCAATGTAGAGGGATGTCTCGTCTGGGTCGAATTTACGGATCTGAACTGATTTTGAATGTACCGGATACCACCGTACCTCAACGCTCTCTACAATAATGTATACTGGATGGGTCCACTCCAACATAACAAATGTTGTTCCCATTTCCTTTACAACTAAGTTTCGCACATTCGATCCTACAACACAATGCAATATTACCATTTTAAATTAAAATCATTTTAACGGGAATGTACTTATTGTTATTTTACTAATAATTCAGATTCATCGTTTCAAGCAATATATCACAATAATCCCAAAAGGGGTGGATACTGACCTTTCATTCGTATGATCGCAGTCGTAGGATGACTCATTGTTCCGTCAGCCACCGCCCATAAAACTACTTCGTATGCAGCCCCAGTCCGAGGATTGTCTAACAACACGGTCGGCAGTGTCGACTCGGTACTTGTCTCTGCCACTATGTCTCCTTCACAGTTCTTTAACATCACAAGATAACTGTCCAAGTATCCTGGTGAGGCCTCCCAACTCAGCTCCACACGTGTCGTCAGCACGTGACTTTTGTGCATGTTTAGTGGACCGGGAGGTGATGGCACTGGATGGGGGAAACATAGATAATGAGCAACTTTGAATAATGATTGATTATCAATTATCATTAAAAGTGTTCTAATCACAAAAGCAAATGCTTGGTTGATAATTAAGTGGTTTGTATGCAAATACTAACATGTACACTGTGTTTTGTGTTGATCAACATGTGTATATTTCACTTTGTTAATTAACTGACTTAATTTAAAAATATTATATACTGTTACAGGAAATGCACTTTTTTTCAAAGTGTTCGAAATGCAGAAAATTATTGAAAAACTTTCATAATTTAACTATTTCCGCGCTTCCCGAAACACCGCTGCGACCGGCTGTTATTGAAATGAAAAACAACAAGACCAATCTTCGAACTCAAAATCAAGAAAAGCAGGTCAAACTTTAAGCAAAGGAAAGATTTACAAGGAGATCATTAAAAGATAGAAGAAGAATAAGTCCAGGTGTTCCGTAAGTGTTAGCGTTTTGCTTCATTGATGACACACGCCATATAAATCTAAGTCAAATTCGAGTAATATCACGTCCTCACATCTAATGAGCATATTAACAAATATCGACCTTTATATCACACAGAGAAATAGCATCTTTTTTCTGCAAGTTCCTAATAGCAACCTTAAACGTTGTCCATAGTCTACATCAACCTGCATCTATGCAAATCCTGTGAGATATGTTTATCCGTCAGCAGTCGACATCTATCACAGAGTCGTGTTATTCGAAACAGACTTTTGAGTACCGAAGGAGCTGTCAATTGTAAACAACGTAGGCAGGGGAAGTAGGGATGTTGCTATAAGGGAAGGGAAAGTTTACGCTCGAAAAATTCGAATGATGAGGACGATATAAGGTACTGGTAAGGAAATTTAAGATTTTTTTTTTTAATAATTTCTATGATACTAGACCTACTGAATCCTATTGACGAATTCACAATGTTCGGTGTGGTGCATACAAACAGTTACTCCATCCGGCATTGTATATTTAAAAGATTAATATATTCGAGTAATATGTTGATAGCATCCTTTTCAGAAAACCTTATCAGAGTATGAAATGAGCTGTTTCTTCTCAAAAGTAGAATTCATATATACGTCAGCACACCAAAACAGTATTGAATTCAATCATTGTAAGGCTGTGCTGGGAGGAGTTTCATACTGTGTGCGCTTAGGTCACGTGACCACATGTGTAGTTATATCATTTTAGTACTGTATTTGACGAAACATTATTTCATACTGTTTGCTATGACATTATGAACTACTATACATGGATATATAAGCATGCAGTTAACTTTGGTTTTGTCCTGATGGAATATATCTGTATTATAAATTGAAAGATAGCTTCAAGCAGATTCGTTCAAGGTCAGAATATTAATTCTGTATCATATGGGAGATACTTTGCAACATTTCATTTGAGTTGTTAAGTAAATACTGTATATAGGTTCATAACACACAACCAGCGAAATGTTAATGTGTGACGCTTGGATGACTATTACGACACGTGCTGTCACTTTATTCAGGCAAATGACGAGTTAATCATTTGTATAAACCAATGTGTAAACTATATACCAGTTGGCAACAATAATACTGCACTTGATTTGGCTATGCCTTATAAGTTCACTTTATGTGTACTTGGTTACTAAAATGTGCAAATCAACGCTCAAATTGACAAGGTGGTTCGGCCATTCTTTGTTTATAGTTTGGTTACCAAATGACATTTGGTCACAAATGAGCGATGTTGCTGTATTAAAAATAATTTATTGGCCCAACGTATGCGACACAAACGTTGTAGAGCCAACCACTTTAAATCAAAATATATTGTGTATAAACATGTCAAATGAATTGACCCGACTCAGTACAATCTTGATAAAGTCCACAATTAACTAAAATTTAGCACAAACGTCTAATTGTAAGCCTAACGTAGCACTGAAGCTGAAGGAAAGCGAACGTGGCACCAACTTTGTTCAAACCCCACTGAAACGATATCTTTCACTGTTGAAATGTAAAATGTGTAATGGAGTTAGTTCAACGATGTACTTGCGTTTTTAAACAGGTCATGTGAATCACATTCGGTCAAGTATTTGTATGTCAGCCAAACGTCGAACAACGGTATTAGCCCCGACATTGCGAAATAATGTTGATGAACGTTAAATAAACTTTGGGATTTTGAAGAAGCAGCATCCTTGACATTCGAAAGGTATTGGTGGTATTTCAACTGTTGTGGCAACGTGGGATCGAAACGTTACACATTATGCTACCCTTAAATAGTCTATTTCGTATGTTCGGTCTACGTTGCGAATCCGCCTGAGACCTTGCCTCCCGAGCGCGTGTTGGTCCAACGAACCTTTTCTATCTGGGACATTGTTTGTATACATTTGGTACATTTTGGTAGCCTCCAGAACCTTCAGCTTGTAAGCTCACAGTCGTCATCAGTTAAATTTGTCCGTAACAACTTAGCAAATTACGCGCATCAAATCAGACAGGCTAACTACAAGCTTACTATAGGTAAAGCTAATAACGGTAGAAATCTTACAAAAAGCCTATTTATTTACTTAACACGTTCATTTGGACCATGTCTATAACTTTAATGCTGTGAATTATACATGTAAGATTTTAAGATCACTTTTGCAAGTTTGTGGAGTGCACAAATAGTTTAATTATGAGTAAAGTGAAAACAAATTAGCGAACCCATGAAAAGGCGTATAACGTTACGTAGGTAGGGTTTTTAACTCGGATACGAGACCTAATCACATCAAAGTTGCAGCGCGTTGTCCGCCGACATATTATTACTCAGCGTCTTTTTTTCATCAGATTAACATGTTAATTTCTAGAAATTCGAGGATAAAAACATATCTATAATCAGACGGGTACATAGCTTTGAAAAAAAGAACTGCCGTCATACCGTTTTCAGTCACCGTAAAAAGTGCCAAACCTCAGAATCGGAGTTACCTCACAGAAATATCAATTAAAGACCCTTTATTTGTCATTCACTTTAAAGGAATTTCTTCTATTTACATTGTATATTTTTCGGTTCAGAATTAATATCTTATTAGCTTACTTGTTCTGACTGAGATATCTTCCGACTGGACGCGTTCTTTCTCTCCACACTGAGTTGGTAAAACTGACGTAAAAGCAAACGTGAATAGTTGTCCGGGGGTCAAAATTTTCATGTGGAGGACTGTCACGTCTGGGTTGACCTTGAAGGTCTGAACCGGTTTTGATTGTACCGAATACAACCGTACCTCATAGCTCTCTACTAAGCTGTATACTGGGCGGGTCCACCCCAGATCCACAAATGTGGTTCCCCGGTCCTTAACAACTAGATTTCTGATTCTCAAGTTTGATTCTACAAAACAATGCAAAATTACAATTTTAAACAAACAAATATTGCAACGGGAATGCACTTATTGTTATTTTATTAATTACACGCATTCATCGTTTCAATCAACATGTCAAAATCATTGATAAAGGTGTCGGTACTGACCTTCGACCTGTATTTTTGATGTCGTAGGATCACTAATTTTTCCGTCAGCCACCGACCATATAACCACCTCGTATACAGTCTCTGTCCGAGGATTGTCTAACAACACGGTCGGTCGTGTCGACTCGGTACTTTTCTTTGCCACTACGTCTCCCGCACAGTTCTTTAACATTACAAGATAACTGTCCAAGTATCCTGGTGAAGCTTCCCAACTCAGCTCCACACGTGTCGTCAGTACGTGACTTTTGTGCATGTTTAGTGGACCGGGAGGTGATGGCACTGGATGGTGGAAACATAGATAATGAGGAACTTAAAATAATTATTGATTGACAAATATTATTAAAAGTGTTATTATTGTCACCGACACAAATGCTTAGTTGATAATTTATTTATATTTTATGTGTTTTGCTAAAACATTTCTTTTTTTTGCAAACAATCCAATGACGTTGCGCGGTATAAAGCGTCTGATGATTATCTACATCGGCTGCCATGTCAACTTTATTTGTTTTTGTGGGGTTTTTTTTCCTGTGTTTATTTTATTATATGTATGGTGGATGTTGACATAAACATTGTAGTTTTGCATTTGATATGCACTGTATGATAGTTGTTGACATATACATACATTGCAGTGTTGTTATTGATATACCCTGTATGATAGCTGTTGACATATACATTGCAGTGTTGTTATTTATATACAAAGTATGATAGATGTTGACATATACATTCTAGTGTTGTTATTGATATACACAGTATGATAGATGTGGACATATACATTGCAGTGTTGTTATTTATATACAAAGTATGATAGATGTTGACATATACATTCTAGTGTTGTTATTGATATACACAGTATGATAGATGTTGACATATACACACATTGAAGTGTTGTTATTGATATACACTATATGCGAGATGTTGACATATACACTGTAGTGTTGTTGTTGATATGCACTGTATGATATATGTTGACATATACATACCTTGTAGTGTTGTTATTTATATACATTGTATGAATTATGTTGGCATATACATTGTAGTGTTGTTATTTATATACATTGTATGAATTATGTTGGCATATACATTGTAGTGTTGTTATTTATATACATTGTATGAATTATGTTGGCATATACATTGTAGTGTTGTTATTTATATACATTGTATGAATTATGTTGGCATATACATTGTAGTGTTGTTATTTATATACATTGTATGAATTATGTTGACATTTACATTGTAGTGTTGTTATTTATATACACTATATGATATATGTTGACATATACATTCATTGTAGTGTTGTTATTTATATACACTATATGATAGATGTTGACATATACATTGTAGCGTTGTTATTGATATACACTGTATGATATATGTTGACATATACATTGCAGTGTTGTTATTGATATACACTGTATTTATTATATGTATGGTGGATGTTGACATAAACATTGTAGTTTTGCATTTGATATGCACTGTATGATAGTTGTTGACCTATACATTTTAGTGTTGTAGTTGATATACACTATATGATAGTTGTTGACATATACATTGTAGTGACATATACATACATTGCAGTGTTGTTATTGATATACACTGTATTTATTATATGTATGGTGGATGTTGACATAAACAGTGTAGTTTTGCATTTGATATGCACTGTATGATAGTTGTTGACATATACATTGCAGTGTTGTTATTGATATGCACTGTATGATATATGTTGACATATACATTGTAGTGTTGTTATTTATATACACTATATGATAGATGTTGACATATACATTGTAGTGTTGTTATTGATATACACTGTATGATATATGTTGACATATACATACATTGTAGTGTTGTTATTTATATACATTGTATGAATTATGTTGACATATACATTGTAGTGTTGTTATTTATATACACTATATGATAGATGTTGACATATACATACATTGTAGTGTTGTTATTTATATACACTATATGAAAGATGCTGACATATACATTGTAGTGTAGTTATTGATAAACACTATATGATAAATGTTGACATATACATACATTGTAGTGTTGTTATTGATATACACTGTATGCTAGATGTTGACATATACATTGCAGTGTTGTTCTTGATATACACTGTATGATAGTTGTTGCCATATACATACATTGCAGTGTTGTTATTGATATACACTGTACGATAGATGTTGACATATACACACATTGAAGTGTTGTTATTGATATACACGGTATGCTAGATGTTGACATATACATTGCAGTGTTGTTATTGATATGGACTGTATGATATATGCTAACATATACATTGCAGTGTGGATATTTATATATACTGTATGCTAGATGTTGACATATACATTGTAGTGTTGTAATTGATATACACTATATGATAGTTGTTGACATATACATTGTAGTTTTGTTATTTATATACACTATATGATATATGCTAACATATACATTGCAGTGTGGATATTTATATACACTGTATGCTAGATGTTGACATATACATTGTTGTGTTGTTATTGATATACACTATATGATAGATGCTGACATATACATTGCAGTGTGGATATTTATATACACTGTATGCTAGATGTTGACATATACATTGTAGTGTTGTTATTGATATACACTATATGATAGATGTTGACATAAAATACATTGTAGTGTTGTTATTGATATACACTGTATGATAGATGTTGACATATACATTGTAGTGTAGTTATTGATATACACTGTATGATAAATGTTGACATATACATTGCAGTGTTGTTATTGATATACACTGTATGATAGTTGTTGACATATACATACATTGTAGTGTAGTTATTGATATACACTGTATGATAAATGTTGACATATACATTGTAGTGTTGTTGTTGATATGCACTGTATGATAAATGTTGACATATACATTGTTGTGTTGTTATTGATATACACTATGTGATAGATGCTGACATATACATTGCAGTGTTGTTATTGATATACACTATATGATAGTTGTTGACATATACATTGCAGTGTTGTAATTTATATACACTATATGATAGTTGTTGACATATATATTGTAGTGTAGTTATTGATATACACTGTATGATAGTTGTTGTCATATACATACATTGTAGTGATGTTATTTATATACATTATATGATAGATGCTTACATATACATTGCAGTCTTGTTATTGATATACACTGTATGATAGATGTTGACATATACATACATTGTAGTGTTGTTTTATATACACTGTATGCTAGATGTTGACATATACATTGTAGTGTTGTTATTGATATACACTATATGCTAGATGTGGACCTATACATTGCAGTGTTGTTATTTATATATACAGTATGATAGATGTTGACATATACATACATTGAAGTGTTGTTATTGATATACACTGTATGCTAGATGTTGACATATACATCGCAGTGTTGTTATTGATATACACTGTATGATAGTTATTGACATATACATACATTGTAGTTGTTATTGATATACACTGTATGATAGTTGTTGTCATATACATACATTGTAGTGATGTTATTTATATACATTATATGATAGATGCTTCCATATACATTGCAGTGTTGTTATTGATATACACTGTATGATAGTTGTTGACATATACATACATTGTAGTGGTGTTATTTATATACATTATATCATAGATGCTTACATATACATTGCAGTCTTGTTATTTATATACACAGTATGATAGATGTTGACATATACATTGTAGTGGTGTTATTGATAGAAACTATATGATAAATATTGACATAAACATACATTGTAGTGTTGTTATTGATATACATAGTATGATAGTTGTTGACATATACATTGCAGTGTTGTTATTGATATACACTGTATTAAAGATGTTGACATATACAATGTAGTGTAGTTCTTGATATACACTATATGATAGATGTTGACATAAAATACATTGTAGTGTTGTTATTGATATACACTATATGCTAGATGTGGACCTATACATTGCGGTGTTGTTATTTATACATACAGTATGATAGATGTTGACATATCCATACATTGAAGTGTTGTTATTGATATACACTGTATGATAGATATGTTGACATATCCATACATTGTAGTGTTGTAATTGATATACACAGTATAATAGATCTTGATAAATACATTGTAGTGTGGATATTTATATACACTGTATGCTAGATGTTGACATATACATTGTAGTGTTGTTGTTGATATACACTATATGATAGATGTTGACATAAAATACATTGTAGTGTTGTTATTGATATACACTATATGATATATGCTGACATATATATTGCAGTGTGGATATTTATATACACTGTATGCTAGATGTTGACATATACATTGTAGTGTTGTTATTGATATACATAGTATGATAGTTGTTGACATATACATTGCAGTGTTGTTATTGATATACACTGTATGATAAATGTTGATATATACATTGCAGTGTTGTTATTGATATACACTGTATGCTAGATGTTGACATATACATTGTAGTGTTGTTATTGATATACACTATATGATCGATGTTGACATATACATTGTAGTGTTGTTATTGATATACACTGTATGATAGATATGTTGACATATCCATACATTGTAGTGTTGTAATTGATATACACAGTATAATAGATCTTGATAAATACATTGTAGTGTGGATATTTATATACACTGTATGCTAGATGTTGACATATACATTGTAGTGTTGTTATTGATATACATAGTGTGAAAGTTGTTGACCTATACATTGCAGTGTTGTTATTGATATACACTGTATTAAAGATGTTGACATATACAATGTAGTGTAGTTCTTGATATGCACTATATGATAGATGTTGACATATCCATACATTGTAGTGTTGTAATTGATATACACAGTATAATAGATCTTGATAAATACATTGTAGTGTAGTTATTGATATACACTGTATAATAGATCTTGATAAATACATTGTAGTGTGGATATTTATATACACTGTATGCTAGATGTTGACATATACATTGTAGTGTTGTTATTGATATACACTGTATGATAAATGTTGATATATACATTGCAGTGTTGTTATTGATATACACTGTATGATAGATATGTTGACATATCCATACATTGTAGTGTTGTAATTGATATACACTGTATAATAGATCTTGATAAATACATTGTAGTGTGGATATTTATATACACTGTATGCTAGATGTTGACATATACATTGTAGTGTTGTTATTGATATACATAGTGTGAAAGTTG